TCCTTTATATAATCCTTTATATATAATCATATATTAGTTTATAGAATTAGTGCCTGAAGTATAACTTACTGCTTACATATATCTAGCTTATATAATCATACTTAGTACTTATATCTAGCATACTTAGTTCCATATAATCTTTCTATATAATCATATAACAGATGTAGTCAGAGCTGTACTGACACATTTAGTGCTGATTTATAGAATCCTTCTATATAACCATATAGTAGTTTGTAGTAGGAGGAATGCCTAGAGCAGTCACAAAGCAGAAGCAGTACATGGGAAAACAGCCAGACCAGGACAAAAACCAAAGACCCGGGCAGTGAGTTAAAGGTGCACAGAGCAGGGATCTAGAACACAGAAGAGTGTGTGGGGAGGTGGGCGAATCTTAAGACAAAGTCTCCCAGAGGAAGCAATTATGCTGAAATTAAAGGACGTTGGAGTATCCAGGAAAAGAGGCCAGGAGGGGAATCCCAGAAACAAAATAAAAAACCAAAACGTCGTGATTGCCGGGTGCGGTGTGTCACGCCTGTAATCCCAGCACTCTGAGGCAGGTGGATCATCTGAGGTCAGGAGTTCGAGACCAGCCTGACAGACACAGAGAAACCCCGTGTTTACTAAAAAATTAGCTGGGCACAATGGTGCACACCTGTATTCCCAGCTACTTGGCAGGCTGAGGGGTAAGAATCACTTGAAACTGGAGGTAGAGGTTGCAGTGAGCCCAGATTGTCCCAATATAACTAGAGGTTAAAGAGTAAAGGACCGGTTCTGAAGTCTAAAGCAAATATTGTTGATGTGTAATATTCCTGTCCACAGATCTTCCACCACATGGCTGTGCTGGAGTTTCAGCCTACTCTGGCTCAAGGCTGCCTGGTTTTTGCATCTTTCATGCCTCAATTAAACTCTGTTTGTTTATTTTGAGATGGAGTGTCACTCTGTTGCCTAGGCTGGAGTGCAGTGGCGTGATGTCAGCTCACCACAACAACCTCCACCTCCTGTGTTCAAGCAATTCTTTCTCATGCCTCAGCCTTCCCAGCAGCTGGGATTACAGGCACCCGTCACCACACCTGGCTAATTTTTTGTATTTTAGTAGAGACGGGGTTTCATCATGTTGATGTCTGAAGTTTTTCTTTTTTTCTTTTCCTTTTTTTTTTTTTTTTTTTTGAGACATAGTTTCACTCTTGTTACCCAGGCTGGAGTGCAATGGCGCGATCTCGGCTCACCGCAACCTCCGCCTCTGGGGTTCAGGCAATTCTCCTGCCTCAGCCTCCTGAGTAGCTGGGATTACAGGCACGCACCACCATGCCCAGCTAATTTTTTGTATTTTTAGTAGAGACGGGGTTTCACCATGTTGACCAGGGTGGTCTCGATCTCTCGACCTTGTGATCCACCCCCCTCGGCCTCCCAAAGTGCTGGGATTACAGGCGTGAGCCACCACGCCCGGCCCTGAAGTTTTTCTTTTATCACAAGTCATATCAATCCCTCAGGTAATATCCCTGGTTGATCTCTCCCCCAAAAAGCCATCTGGAATGATCAAAGGTTAATTTTATAGGACTACATGAATAGTTGGTTTATAAATTATTATAAACCAACAGCTCTAAGAAATCTATAAATCTTCAAATACTTTTAAAAGAAAGCAAGCGAGCAAGCAGAAGTAAATCCACACACCTACGGTGGAATAATTTTTGACAAGGATGCCAGGAAAATTCAATGAGGATCAAACACTCTTCAGCAAATGGGGCTGTAACAACTGGATATCCACATGCAACGAATGGGGTTGGACATGATGATGGTTAATATTAAGTGTCGACTTGATTGGACCAAAAGATGCAAAGTATTGTTCCCGGGTGTGTCTGTGAGGGTGTCGCCAAAGGAGATGAACATTTCAGTCAGTGGGCTGGGAGAGGCAGACCACCCTCAATCCGGGTGGGCACTATCTAATTGGTAACCAGCAGGGTAGGAATAAAAAGCATGCAAACGAAGTGCAGGCCTGCCGAGTCTCCCGGCCTTCATTCGCCACTGGTGCTGGATACCTCCAGCCCACAAATATCAGACTCCAAGTTATGCAACTTATGGACTCTTGGACTTAACACCACGTGGTTTGCCAGGTGCTCGGGCCTCTGGCCACACACTGAAGGCTGCCCTGTTGGCTCCCCTGCTTTTAAGGTTGGGGGACTTGGACTGATCCACCACTGGCTTTCTTGCTCCTCAACTTGCAGACAGCCTGTCATGGGGCTTTTCCTTGCAATCGTGTGAGTCAATTCTCCTTAATAAACTTCCTTTTATATACCTATATTCTGTTAGTTCTCTCCTTCTAGAGAACACTAACTAAAACAGACACTTACACACACAATAACATGCATTCAGTAACACATACAACGACAGCTATAACATGCAATAATTTAAAATGGATCAAATGTTCAAATCTAAGAGCTAAAACTACTGTACTCTCATCTAGGTAAATCTCCATGACCTTGGATTTGGCAACTGTTTGATACCACATCAAAACCACAAGCTGCTTAAAAAAAAAAAAAAATAAGATAAACTGAACTTTGTTGGAAATGAAAACTATTTTGTACATCGAAACACATTACTGAGCAAGTAGGAAGAAAGCCTTCAGAATCCGAGAAAATATTTTAAAATTACGTATCCAAGGGTCTAATATCCAGAATAAATAACTACAACTCGACCAGGTGCCGTAGCTCACCCCTGTAATCCCAGCACTTTGGGAGGTCAAGGCGGGTGGATCGCTTGAAGCCAAGAGTTTGAAACCAGCCTGGTCAGCACAGTGAAAACTCGTCTGTATTAAAAATACAAAAATCAGCCAGGCTTACAGCAGGAGCTCTATAAATAGCTGCAGAATAGCAAATGAGCTTAACACCCCAATTTTCCTACTCATTTCCCTCGAGCGTCCCAAGTACCTAGTAACATCGATTCAATGATACCCCACAAATCTCTTTATTACACAGGAATTCATCAAAACATTCCTTCTCATTCAAAGCATCCCAGTTCTCCTAATATCACCCTAACTCCCCTTACTGCAGACTGATTCCTTCGGCACACAGTTCCCAGGCTGTTAAGTCTAATTTCTCCCGCGAGGTCTCTGATCCCCGTCCCCTTCCAATCCAGGGTTACTGCGGCGACGCTAACCTTTGAATCTTCCTCAGCGCGCTGAGCGGCTCGTAACCATGGAGACACAAGCAGGTTCCCCGCTCCCACTCCTCACCCCGAGTTGGCAGCCCCGGTGCCCAGACCCTCTGGACAAGGAGAGCCCAGCTCAGCTTGTAACCGGGTCCTCCCCACTCCTCTCCCGCCAGCGGGCGAAGGAAACACCCCGCCCCCTGCACATGCTCAGATGGAGCTCTGGGCCCGTGGATTCTACTGCGCAGGCGCTCACTCTTAGCGAAGGGACTAGGCGGGAAAGTGCTGGTGGCGCTCAGCCTGCTGGGAGTTGCAGTTTTCTGGCTGCCACAGCGGGAGATACAGGTGGCCAGTGGGTGAGCCGGATGCAGGTAGGGACAAGGTTATGGAAGCTGGGATCTTCCTGCAGACTGGATCGTCACCATAGCAACAGTGAAGCATCATGAAGCACTAGTTCTGCTAGGCAGCCTGCCGTTTTCATTCTTTCACCTTTTTTTTTTTTTTTTTTTTTTAAATTCAAAGCTTACTTTGCAACAGGCACTGTTCTAGTCACTGGGAATACAAAGAAAACAAAATAGAGCTTCCATTTTGGCGGGAGGAGATTGACATAACAACGGTGAGCACAGGTCACTGGAAAAAACGGTCTGTTAATAAGTAACTGGGCTGCTTTGAGGAAAACGGACATTCAGGCAACGTTAGAACATTGGTGCACACACTGATTCATTTATCCTCACAAAGCCCTATGAGGCAGGTACTATTATGACCCCTAAACTCTGACATAGGCTGAACATGATGGTCACATGGCAAGGAGGTAGTGGAGCTGGGATTTGAACCCAAGCAGTCTGGCTTCATACTTGATAAGCTTAACCACAATGCCAAACTGGTAAATAGCTGTGTGGCATAATTTCAGGTAGTGCTAAGTGCTGTGAAGGATAAAGCAAAGAAAGGGGCTGGTGTGGCTCTTTAGAGAGACGACTTAAGGATGGCTTTCAGGGGGAGGTGGCATTTGAGCAGGAGCCTGAGGGATTGATGTGTCTTGTGATAAAAGAAGAAATTCAGATGAATTTAATGTAAAGAAGTTGAATTGGCCGGGTACGGTGGCTCATGCCTGTAATCTCAGTACTTTGGGAAGCTGAGGAGGGCAGATGGCTTCAAGTCAGGAGTTTAAGAACAGCCTGGTCAACAGGATGAAACCCTGTCTCTACTAAAATACAAAAAATTAGCCGAGTGTGGTGACGGGTGCCTGTAATCCCAGCTGCTGGGAAGGCTGAGGCAGGAGAATGCTTGAACACAGGAGGCGGGGGTTGTTGTGGTGAGCTGAGATCACGCCACTGCACTGCAGCCCAGGCAACAGAGCGAGACTCCATCTCAAAATAAAGAAACAGAGTTTAATTGAAAGATTTATTGAAAGTTTAAATCAAAGTTTCACAAATCAGGCAGCCTTGAGCCAGTATAGGCTGAAACTCCAGCACAGCCATGTGGTGGAAGATTTGTGGACAGAAAAAGGTAGGTGACATACAGAAAACGGAATGAGGTACAGAAACAGCTGGATTGATTACAGTTCAGTGTTTGCCTTATTTGAACACAATTAGACTAGTTGGCTACAAGGGATTGCCCAAAACTCAGCGATTGGCACAAGTGTAGGTTCACGTTCGGTTTACGCCTCCCTTGTTAGTTCACGATGTACAGAAATCCCTTCAGGCCGAACTTAAAGTACGTAAGGAGGCAGCTTTAGGCTAAACTTGAATTGGCACTTGTGAGCTGGACATGTGAGGCATATGGAGAGGGACAAGCGGCGGGGCTCCCAGTTGCGCTCGAAGTAGTCGACGAAGGCGGCCGGGCCGTGGACATGCAGCTCGGCCAGCGCCTCGTCGTAGGCGGCGGGCGACGACGCGCCAGCCAGGCGGCACAGGCGCGACCACAGGCCCGGGTCCTCGCGGCCAGCTCCGCCCAGCTCCTGCGCCTTGCTGAAGAGCGTCTCCAGGCCCTGCGCGCGGCAGATCTGCACGCGCGCGCAGGGCAGCAGCTGGCGCACGGCGGGCAGCTGTGCCGCCACCTCCGGCCCGGCGGTGAGGCAGCGCACGCGGCCTTTGACGTCAGGCGCACTCTGCAGCAGCGACGCGAGCGCGAAACGCAGCAGGCTCGGCGTGCCCGGGCGCGCCACGCAACAGGCAGCCTGGCGCGCACGGCCCGCGCCGTCCACGCACAGCACGGCCAGCAGATCCAGCGCGCCCTGCAGCCCCGGCAGCCGGTCCACCAGCAGCATGCGCGGGAAGCGCCGCAGCAGCGCCCTGGTGCGCGACGTCAGGAAGAACACGGTCTCCACCACCGCCTGGTCCTCCACGAACACCAGCTTCACCTGCGGGCGGGGGCAGGGAGGTAAGGAAAGAGGTCAGAGGACGCTGGGGTCTTCCCGCCCAGCTCCTCGACCTCGGTTTCCCCTTCTACGGAAATGGGATCTCATTCATTCTTGCCTGCAGATGCATTTATTCTTTTGAGCGGCAGGGGGCAGTGCAGGGAAATGGTAAAAAACAGACTCTCGCGGTGGCTCACGCCTGTATTCTCAGCATTTTGGGAGACCTAGGCGGGCGGATCACTTGAGGTCAGGAGCTCGAGACAGCCTGGCCAATATGGTGAAACCCCCATCTCTAATAAAAATACAAAAAATTAGGTTGCAGTGAGCCAATTTTCTTTCTTTCTTTGTTTCTTTCTTTTTCTTTTTTGAGACAGAGTCTCACTGTGTCAGCCAGGCTGGAGTGCAATGGTGCAATCATAGCTCTCTGCAGCCTAGAGTGCAATGGTGCAATCATAGCTCACTGCAGCCTCGAACTCCTGGGCTCAAGCAATTCTCCTATCTCAGCCTTTGGAACAGCTGGGACTATAGGTGTGTGCCACCCTGCAAGGCTAATTTTTATTTTAGTTTTTTTTTGTTTTTTTTTTTTTAATAAATACAAGGTCTCTGTATGTGGCTCAGGCTGGTCTCAAACTCCTGGGCTCAAGCAATCCTCCCACCTCAGCCTCCCAAAGCACTGGGACTACAGACATGAGCAGCGCATCCGGCCTCTAATCCCCATTTTAAAAATGCACCTTCCAATTCCACTCTGGGGATAAAGGAGTCACAGAGCCTGACTTTGGCTCTCCCCACCCATATCATTCAAGCCAGATGGGGAGGCAGGGACAGCTCTGATCCCTCCCCAACCCGGGTGGAGATTTCCAGCCCAGCTGTCACAGCTCTACGACACAGGGACCAAGAGAGAAGCCAGGAGAGACAGGAAGAGGTGGCAAAGGAGTGCTAGAGAAGATAAGGAGGCTGAGCTCCAACAGGGAGCAGGGAAGAGGGGCATCTTGAGCCTGGTGCCCTGCAAGCTCCACCCCACCCCTCCATGCAGTTCCCCATGGGCCCGGCCTGCATCTTCTTGAGGAAAGGCATCGCTGAGAAACAGCGGGTGAGGTGGGGAGTGATGGGGAAGGGCTGTGGGCAAGGCAAGGGGACCGGGGTGTGGGACAAAGAAGGGGACATGATGATGGTGCTACAGAACCAGAGGAACAGGTGGATAGAGCAGGAACTGAGAAGATACAAGAATTCCAAGGACCCTCATGGGGTCATGTAAGCCAGTGAGATAAATGGGTGGGGCTAAAATCAGAAGTCAGGAGCAAAGAGGAGAGAAAGGGAAGAAAAACAGTCAGGGAAGTGGGATAATGTAATTGTTGAGATTACCATCATTCTTTTCTATGGATGCTCATTGTGATAACGGCAGTGATGACAATTGTGATGATGATGGTGGTGGTGATGGTGTTGGTGGTGATGATGATGATGGTGATGGTAGTGATGATGATGGTAATGATGATGGTGTTGATGATGGTGATGGTGGTGGTGATGGTGGTGATTCTAGTGATGGTGGTGATGACTATGGTGGTGATAGTGATGATGGTGTTGATGAATGTGATGATGATGATGATGGTGGTGGTGATGGTGATGATGTGATGATGATGGTGGTGGTGATGGTGATAATTATAGTGGTGGTGGTGATGATGATGGTGGTGATAATGATGATGTCAATAACAATAGCTGCCACTTATTAAGTCATTGCTATGTGCCCAGCACTGTGCAAAGGGATTTGCACGTCTGATGTCATTTACACCTCAGAACAACTCAGGAGGTCAGTGACTTTCATTCCCGTTTGATAGGTGAGGAAAGTGAAGCTCTGAGTCATGAAGTCCTTTGCCTTAAGCTTACACAGTTAGTATGTGGCACAGTTGGTCAAGTACAGGCTCATACCTGAATCCCAGCACCTTGGGAGGCAGAAGCAGGAGGATCACATAAGTCCAGGAGTTCGAGACCAGCCTGGGAAACACAGGGAGATCCCATCTCTACTTAAAGTACAAAACAAACAAAATAAAAATAGCTGGGCTTGGTGGCATGCATCTGCAGTCTCCGCTAGTCAGGGGGCTGAGGCAGGGGGATCGCACGAGCCCAGGAAGTGGAGGCTGTAGTGAGCCCTGATCATGCCACTGCACTCCAGCCTGGGCAACAGAATGAGACTCTGTCTAAAAAAAAGTAAACGGCAGGGTTAGGTCTGCTTGATTCCTGTGGGCATGCTTTAAAATTTTTTTTTAATTATTTATTTTTTTAATTTTTCCGTATATACCAACTTGTCCAGATATGTGGGTATGCTTTTAATTGTTAGGCTTTAAGATCACCAAAAAAAAGAAAATGAAAAAAAGAGAGATAAGGGATCACAGGGAGGGGATCAGATGAAAGAGAAGCTTTCAGGGAAAGGCTCCAGGGATAACGGGAGATGAGAGGGTGAGAGGCCAGAGGCCAGTAGAATTTCCTTGCTAACATGCCATGTCTATCTAAGCCCAACCCTTCAGGTATGTCCAGGAGTAGGTGGGGCAACTGGAAATTCTCAGAGTGTTTAGGATTTGGTCGTGCTGGCACTGACCCTCCTGCCTGAATGCCATTGAATGCTGGTTCCATGCACAGGGGTTGTAACCTTTGGCAGGAAGATTGGAGGCAGGTGAGAAAAGAGTTAACGGGGGTGGGGGGGGGCGCTAGTGTGAAGAATTCTGACTTCGGAGTCAGGAGCCCTGAATTCTAATCCCAACGTTGTGCCTGACTTGCCCCATGACCTCCAGGGAGTAATTTAATGTTTCCCCGCCTTGGGAGGGGATCTGCCACTTGTGAGCTGTGTGACCTTGGGCAGGTTCCTTAACCTCTCTGTTCCTCAGCTTTCTCGTGGGTAAGATGGAAACGAGATGCAGATCTGCATCACAGAGCAGTTCTGAGGTTTAAATGAAATGATCTTGGAAACCGCCTGGCACAGAGTCGGCACTCTGAATGAGTTAGCTGTGGTTATGAACTCTGACTTTCTTCATCTGGAGGAGGAGATTGGACTCCACAGTGTTTAAGACAATGTGATGGGTATTTGTTCAAGAAAGGGGGAGTGAGGAAGATCAGGATTCATGGATGGGAGCGAGGCATCGAGAGGGGTGGGGAGCCAAGAACTGTGGAGTAGGAGTCAGGAGATGGGAAAAGGAATGGGAGGGATGGAGGAGGAGAGAGAGTGGGAAAAGAACCACGAGAACGTGAGGAGGTGCTTGAGAGAGCAAGGGGACCCATTTGGGAAATGGGTGACCCTCTCTCTAAATTCCCTCTCACCTGCATTCCTTTCCAGGAAAGACCACTGGGGCAAGATGAGATCGAAGGTAACACCGTCCTCCTCAATTGCCATCCACCCACCTGCCCTGCCCTCAGTCCCTTTGTGCATTTCTGAATAAATTCCTTTACATGGAATTTTCACAATCCCTGCCTCTTCCCTCTCAGCTGTAATTTTGTGGAACTCTTTCTCATGGCAGTTTAAGTACCTCCCAAAGTATTTAGAAGGCAGACCCAACCGCAAGTGTCTGTGAGACTCGGGAGTGAAGAAACAATGAGTTTTTCTCTTCGTGGCTTTGAGGCTCCCCATAACTTCAGCCAAGAATCTGAAGGACATCAGTGCTGTCATTTAGTGGTCTCAGGAATGATGCCTCTTGCTAATACTTTTTTTTTGAGACCAAGTTTTACTCTTGTTACCCAGGCTGGAGTGCAATGGCACGATCTCGGCTCACTGCAACCTCTGCCTCCCAGGTTCAAGCGCTTCTCCTGCCTCAGCCTCCTGAGTAGCTGGGATTACAGGCATGTGCCACCAGACCCAGTTAATTTTGTGTTTTTAGTAGAGACGGGGTTTCTCCTTGTTGGTCAGGCTGGTCTTGAACTCCTGACCCCAGGTGATCCACCCTCCTCGGCCTCCCAAAGTGCTGGGATTACAGGCGTGAGCCACCACACCCGGCCGTTTTGTTTGTTTGTTTGGTTGGTTGGTTTTTGGTTTCTTTTGCTCTTGTTGCCCAGGCTGGAGTGCAGTGGCGCGATCTCATCTCACTGCAGCCTCTACCTCTGGGTTCAAATCCTTCTCCTGCCTCAGTCTCCCAAGTAGCTGAGATTACAGGCATGCACCACTACACCTGGCTAATTTTTTGTATTTAGTAGAGATGGGGTTTTGCCATGTTGGCCAGGCTGGTCTCAAACTCCTGACCTCAGGTGATTCACCCACCTCATCCTCCCAAAGTGCTGGGATTACAGGTGTGAGTCATCATGCCTGGCCTTGGTTTTCTTAAATGTGTGCTTTAAGGAGTCTCTAGTTGAAGCCTCATTGACAGCTTCAAGGGATGCCACTCTTCCCCACTGACTGTTTCAAGTTCCCCCAAAGTTTGTCTCTCTTACCTTTCAGAGCTGCGGGAAGCATTTCTAGAGTTCGACAAGGACCGAGATGGGTTCATCTCTTGTAAGGACCTGGGAAATCTCATGAGGACGATGGGTTACATGCCCACGGAGATGGAACTGATTGAGCTTGGCCAGCAAATCCGCATGAACTGTGAGTCCAGGGAATGGGAGGGATGGCTGGGGTGAGGGGAGGGACCAGGGTGGCACTGGAAAGGAGGTAGAGGTTGAGAGGAGAGTTGGGAGATGGAGAGGAGGGTGAGAGGGACTAGAAGTCTGGAAGAAAACAGGTCAGATTCAACTCAGGGAGGCAGCATTTGAAGTGGTTAAAGGCTTTTCGACGTAAGTCTGGGTTCAAATCTCAGTTCTGTTATTTACTAATTACGGTCATTTTGAAAAGTGGAGTTATCCGCTACTCTTGAGTTTTCATTTCCTCCTCTGTAGAGAAAGATGTGTTTCTCCTTACCTCATAGGACTGTGGAAAGGAAGGGATAAAGATGCTGAAGCAAGGCGTAGCCTCCAGTAAATTCTTACTAAATGTAGTTATTACTATCACCACTAAGATTCATCCGTGGAGCACAAGATTGGAGCCTTATTGGATGTTGGAAACAAGCCTGGAGCTGGAGTTAATGTTAGTGAATAGTATTGCAGAAAGGACGGATTTTAAGATGGACACCACAGCTGATTTTGAGATTTTAGCTAGAATAAAATCGCTATTGAGGCCAGGCATGGTGACTCACACCTGTAATCCCAGCACTTTGGGATGCCAAAGTGGGTACATCACCTAAGGTTAGGGGTTCGTGACCAGCCTGGCCAACATGGTGAAACCACATCTCTACTAAAAATACAAAAAATTAGCCAGGCGTGGTGGTGTGCACCTGTAATCCCAGCTACTCAGGAGGCTGAGGTATGAGAACCGCTTGAACCTGGGAGGCGGAGGTTGCAGTGAGCCAAGATCACACCATTGCACCCCAGCCTTGGCAACAGAGTGGGACTCTGTGTCAAAAAAAAAAAAAAAAAAAAAAAAAAACCGCTGTTGGGTTTGCTTCTGGGCATGAGTAAAAAAAGGTTGAATTCAAGGTAATGATGGTATTCCTATCTGAAAAAACTTGGATGCTCATTTAATTCATACTCCTCTTTCTATGGGTCTACAGAAGAGGAGAAACGTCTCTTTATTTATTTATTTTTTTTTTGGACAGAGTTTCACTTTTATTGCCCAGGCTGGAGTACAATGACGCAATCTCAGCTCACTGCAACTTCCACCTCCCAGGTTCAAGCGATTCTCCTGCCTCCACCTCCCGAGTAGCTGGGATTACAGGCCTGTGCTACCATGCCCAGCTGATTTTGTATTTTTAGTAGAAATGGGGTTTCTCCATGTTGGTCAGGCTGGTCTAGAACTCCCAACCTCAGGTGATTCGCCCACATCAGCCTCCCAAAGTGCTAGGCTTACAAGCATGAGCCACCGCGCCCAGCCGAGAAACATCTTAACCTACTGTCTGAAAGTCACAGAGACAGTTAGTTCCACGATACCGCACCCTGTCCACTCTTGTTCGGTCTAGAGGATATGAGAGCTTGGAGTTGGCCGCTGGAAGGAGGAAGTCAAAGACATCTCTTACAGGGCAGGGAGATGGGAGCTGATCTATTTCTCGAACTGACTCAAAGCGCAAAGTGAGGTAATGGAAGACCGGGGCTTGTGGGGTCTTGCTAACCCTATGCCATCTTCCTCAGGGGGTGGCCGTGTAGACTTTGATGACTTTGTGGAGCTGATGACCCCCAAATTGCTTGCAGAAACAGCTGGGATGATTGGTGTCCAGGAGATGCGGGATGCCTTCAAGGAGGTGAGTAAACAGTATCCTGGTGCTGGCGATGGTAGAGGCAGATCCCAGAGACCTCTAACTAGCCAGTACCATGGACAGCACCCACCAACCAGGCCCCCACCCTTTTTTACTAGCCATGGTGGAATCAATAAATAGGGAAGAAAAATAACATATTCCAAACACCTGCAAGGGATCAATGCCTCTGCATACTTTATCTGATTTAATCCTCAAAAAAATTAGGATTAAGTGGTCACATCTCAATTATACAGATGAGAAAAGTAAGGCTTATGAAGATTGTAAATCTTATCCAAGATCCTGCCATCTCTAAAATTAATATGAGGATCTTTATTCTATTCTCTCTCTTTCTTTCTTTCTTTTCTTCCTTCCTTCCTTTTTTTTTTTGACAAAGTTCCACTGTTGTCACCCAAGCTGGAGTGCAATGGCACAATCTCAGCTCATTGCAACTTCTGCCTCCCGGGTTCAAATGATTCTCCTGCCTCAGCCTCCCAAGTAGCTGGAATTACCAGCACCTGCCACCACACCCAGAAAATTTTTGTATTTTTAGTAGAGACAGAGTTTTACCATGTTGACCAGGCTGGTCTCAAACTCCTGACCTCAGGTGATCCACCGGCCTCCACCTCCCAAGTGCTGGAATTATAGGCGTGAGCCACCACGCCTGGCCAGGACCTCTGTTCTTAGTGCCTGTAACAGGAAGAAAGAATCCAAAAATTTGAAGATCCCAGAAGGGAATACAAAGTGATAATCTGGTATAAGCCACTTGCTGCAGAGATGCTAAAACATATCAGACCCAGAGGGTGACAGACTTGCTCATATCCCTTGATAAAATACCTTCCCATTCTGAGAACTTTCAGCAACACGATGTGAAAAGAAAGAATAGTGTGGTGTTTGGAAGCAAAGGCTTTGGAACCAGGCAAACATGGGTTCAAACCCCAGGAAGTCTCCACCTATTTGCTATGTAAGTGCCTCTCCCAGCTTCTACACTTGTATCCCAGAACTTAAAGTATAAAAAAAAAAAAAAAAAAAATGAACTCATGGACATAAAAAGAAATGTGGTTAGCAGAGAGGCTGGGAGCCAGGGAAAAGGAATGAACTGTAGGTTATCAAAGGGTGTAAACTTTTGGTTAGACAGGAGGACTAACTTTTGAGATCTATTGCACAGCAGGATAACTATAGTCAAGAATAATGTATGTTTCAAAATGACTTAGAAAGTAAGTTTCAAATTTATGGCTGGGCACGTTGGCTCATGCTGTTAAGCCTAGCACTTTGAAAGGACAAAGCAGAAGGGTTACATGAGGCCAAGAGTTCAAGACCAACCTGGCCAACATAGTGAGATCCCGTCTCATTAAAAAAAAAAGTTTCAGCCAGGCACGATGGCTCACACCTGTAGTCCCAACACTTTGGGAGGCCGAGGTGGGTGGATCACCTGAGATCAAGAGTTTGAGACCAGCCTGGCCAACATGGGGAATCCCCATCTCTACTAAAAATACAAAAATTAACGAGGCATGGTGGCAGGTGCCTGTAATCCAGCTACTCGGGAGGCTGAGGAACGAGACTCGCTTGGACCCAAGAGGTGAAGGTTGCAGGGCACTGAGATTGCACCACTGACTCCAGCCTGGGTGACAGAGTGAGACTGTCTCAAAAAAAAAAAAAAAAAAGAACAAAACTGTCTTTAGGAGCTGACATTCTATCAACTCACATTCCCAAAGCTCTTAACTCAGTACCTGACCCACAGTAAGTGATGGGTAAACTCCATCATCCTGTTGCCGTCATCACTGCTGTTGCTGACATAATCTACTTCTGCTTCTACTCAGTTTGACACGAACGGAGATGGGGAGATCACCCTGGCAGAGCTGCAGCAGGCCATGCAGAGACTCCTGGGGGAGCGGCTCACCCCCCGGGAGATCTCTGAGGTTGTCCGGGAGGCTGATGTTAATGGAGACGGCACCGTTGACTTTGAAGGTGACATCGCTGGGGGGAAGTGGGGCGGTAGGAGGCGGCCACTGCAGGAATCCACTTCCACCTGGCTGTGAGATTTTCCAAGCTGGCCGCTCCTTCTCACTCCTCGCCAAGTTTGAGATTGGAAGTGGGTGGCAGGTTTTGGAAGCATCTCTTCCATCCCTTTCTTCCCAGGTCATTCGATTCAGAGAGCTGGATGTCCCTCACTTGTGGCGGCTCCGAGGAACACCTCAGCCAAGGCCCTTCCCTTCCCATGCTCAGGACCCCCTTCCACCTTGCCCGTTCCTTCTTAGCTTGAAGGGCACCTTTTACCATAGGAAGAAGTTGTCCCATCAGAAAGAGACTGGACTGGGCTGGGTACGGTGGCTCACACCTGTAATCCCAGCACTTTGGGAGGCCAAGGTGGGCAGTTCAAGACCAGCCTGGCCAATATGGTGAAACCCCGTCTCTACTAAAAATATAAAAATTAGCTGGGTGTGATGGTGTGCTTCTGTAATCCCAGCTGCTCAGGAGGCTGAGGCAGGAGAATTGCTTGAACCTGGGAAGCGGAGGTTGCGGTGAGCCGAGATTGCGCCACTGTATTCTGTGTGTGAGTGCCTTTATTCTTCCGGCGTGCAGCTGGCAAGTTATCACAGGAGACCTTGCTGTGTTGAGCTGTATCCACTTCCAAGGCCTCCATCCTAGATAGAGAGCAGGGAGGAGTCTTCTCTAAACCACATGTGCTCTGTGTCCCAGTATGGAAACAGTGGATGTTGGTGGGATGCCTGCTGGATCTAGCCAGGATTAGGTGTGCTGTGGACATCAGTGGACATCTGGAGAATGTGGAGTAGGAGTGGGAGGCAATCCTCACACCAACCAAGGGCAAGAAAAGGTCAGGGTGACCTCAAGACCCGGGTGGGCAGCAGGGTCACCTTGAGCCATAGCAAAGTCGGGTGCAACCTGTGTTCCTTCTAGGGTTCACCATTTGCTGTCCACGTGACCTCAGGCATGTTGGTTACCCTCGCTGGCCTCGGTTTTCTTATCTGTAAAATGACACTTATCCCTCCAGGATGGCTGAAAGAAAAAATCCGAAGCTGACCATCACAGGTTTATGGGTTTTGGCTTTGGTTTTGAGATGGAGTCTCACTCTGTTGCCCAGGCTGGAGTGCCGTGGTACAACCTTGGCTCACTCAACCTCCATCTTCTGGGTTCAAGCGATTCTCCTGCCTCAGCCTCCCGAGTACCTGGGATTACAGACGCGCCACCATGCCTAGCTAATTTTTGTATTTTTAGTAGAGATGGGGTTTCACCATGTTAGCCAGGCTGGTCTTGAACTCCTGACCTCAAGTGATCCACCCGCCCCAATGCCCCAAAGTGCTGGGATTACAGGGGTGAGCTACCATGCCCAGCCAACAATAGCTGTTCATGAGATATTTAATCTCTTTTATGAGCATTATGCCATTAACAGTCTTAACAACCATATAAGGAAATAGCAATACTAGGATCCCTATTTTTTAAATTTAATGTTTTGTGTACATGCAAAGGTCAGTTTCATAACAGAAATGAAGAAACTACAACATATTGAAATTAGTCATTCAGAAGTATGAGCATAAAAATAACAGTAATTTACATGAGGTGACTGAGATGGGAGGCATGGTTCTGAGCAACTTTTATTTACTTATTTTAATTTTTTTTTACTCTTTTGTAGAGGTGGGGTCTCACTATGTTGCCCAGGCTGGTCTTGAACTCTGCCCGCCTCGGCCTCCCAAAGTGCTGGGATTACAGGCATGAGCCACCAAGCCCGGCCTCTATGCCAATGTTATCTCAACTTCATGAGGTGAATCTATTATAAACATCCCCACTTGACAGATTAGAAACTGAGGCACATGGTTAAGTAACTTGCCAAAGATCTGATTCCCATTTCATAGATGGAGAAATGGAAGCATAGAGGGATTAAGGAATTTTTCAGAGATCACCAGCAGTGCCTGCCGCCTAGGAGGGGCTCAAAATGTAATGTTGAGGGCTTTCACCAAGAGATGCCTTACTGGGGATTTTTTTTTTCTTTGCAGAGTTTGTGAAGATGATGTCTCGATGAGGAGGTGATGGAAGCCCCAGACCCCCACCTGGTCAACATGGAGCAAGAGCTTGTGGAGAACCACGCTCCAAAGCCCCCTAAAGCAGAGAGGGAGGGCAGCGGGGAGGGAGGGGGTTGGCGTGCAGCGGTATGCAGGAGGCGAGGCCGAGAGCGGTAGCTTTGCCAGGATGAGGGCGTCTGTAGTGCTAGATTTTTTTTTATTATTGCATTTTAGCTTTTGGGGTACATGTGATGAACATGCAAGATTGTTGCATAGGTACACACTTGGCAGTGTGGTTTGCTGCCTTCCGTCCCCTCACCTGTATCTGTCATTTCTCCCCATGCTATCTCTTCCCACTTTCCCACCCCCCGGCCCCTCCCCCATTTCCCCCCAACGGACCCCAGTGTGTAGTGCTCCCCTCCCTGTGTCCATGTGTTCTCATTGTTCAACACCCACCTCTGAGTGAGAATATACGGTGTTTGATTTTCTGTTCTTGTGTCAGATTGCTGAGAATGATGGTTTCCAGGTTCATCCATGTCCCTACAAAGGACATGAACTCATCGTTTTTGATGGCTGCGTAATATTCCATGGTGTATATGAAAATGTGGTACATATACACTGTAGCGCTAGATTAAGAAGGAAGAGTCTACGGACGAAGTGGGAAACGCGGGAGGGCGAAGTGGGAAGTGCGGGAGGGTCGAGCGGCGACTCCAGACATTCCAGTGATGCCTGACATCGTTTCACTTCACGTCCCTCCAAGTCCCTGTGACCTGCCAGAGTCTCTTCCCCAGCTTCCCCTTGGCATAAACTAGTCTTTTCTCCTGTTGGCTAGCAAAAGGTTCGGCACGTAGTCTCTGCTCTTCCCCTGCCTGCTTCAACTGTTACAAAGCCCCTGTTTCTCTCTCCTGGTAAGAGAGAGACAAATTATACATGATTGAGGTGATGGTCACACTAACAGTGCAGATTTCACCATGTAACAAAACTGCACTTGCACTCCCTAAATCTATAAAAATAAAAAGGAGGTGAGATGAGTAGAATGCAAAAATGTTTTCCCATTCTATTGGTTGCCAGTTCACTCTAACGATTGCATATTTTGCTGCGCAGAAACTCTTAAGTTTGATCAGATCCCATTTGTCTAGTTTGGCTTTTGTTGCCATCGCTTTTGGCGTTTTAGTCATGAAGACCTTGCCTATGCTGCATGCCCATCGATGATAGACTGCATCAAGAAAATGTGGCACATATACACCATGGAATACTGTGCAGCCATAAAAAATGATGAGTTTGTGTCCTTTGTTGGGACATGGATGAATCTGGAAACCATCATTCTCAGCAAACTGACACAGGAACAGAAAACCAAACACTGCACGTTCTTACTTATAGGCAGGTGTTGAACAATGAGAACACATGGGCACTGAGAGGGGAGCATCACACACTGGGGTACATTGGGGGGTGGGAGGCTAGAGGAGGGGCGGGCGGGGAGGTTGGGGAGGGATAACATTGGGAGAAATGCCTGATGTAGGCGATGGAGGAAAGGAGCAAACCACCATGGCATGTGTGTACCTCTGCAGCCACCCTGTGGAGGTGCACATGTACCCCAGAGCTCAAAGTACAATTTAAAAAAAGAAGTTATGGGAGGCATTGTGAAACTAAAGCTATGAGACAAAGAAGACAATATAATATTTGGTTTTGATACAAAAAAAAGGAGATGAATCAATCACAGAGCTGAAATAGAGTTGTTGTTGAGACTGGACTTGGAAATGCCTGGTGCAAATGGCATTCAAAGTCGCCACCTCCCTTTTCCTGATTTCCTGGAAGCACTGTCTGATCTTTCTCTTTCTCTCTTTCTCTCTCTCTCTCTCTCTCTCTCTCTCTCTCTCTCTCTCTCTCTCACCTCCCACATCCCTTTCCTTGTGTAAGATACTCAGGAGACTGAATTAAACCACAAATCTGGATTATCAAGGTTTAGAGCAAGCTGATCCCTGGGGAATTAATCTCCCCAAAAAATGTCATCATGTAAAGAGCGAGATGACGGGATTCCCCAAATCCCCAGTTCAGCCAGGGTGTTGCGAAGCCTTTCCTAGAAGCCCCCTGCCTCTGCGCTGGTCTGTACTGGGCCACCGAGAGACTGTGTCTCTCTAAGATGGGAAGTCTGTTCCATCCCTCGAGTCCTGACATTAGTCTGTGCTACGAAACAGAAAAGATAGATTCCTCCTGACCTTCGCAAGACACTCCAGCAATGCAAAGGTTAAAATAAAAAGTCAAAATAAAGAATTAACTTCATGCCTTCCTCCAAGTTTTTCTTGCTTTGAAGTCTATGAATTAGATGTATAAGATGAGTCATCTGGTTCAACTGGCTCAATAGCTTTGTTTTGGTTTATTTATGTATTTATGAATGTGTGTATTTTTGAGACAGTTTCATTCTATTGGCCAGAATGGAGTGCAGTGGTGTGGTGCCATCTCAGCTCATGCAACCTACACCTCCTAGGTTCAAGCGATTCTCATCCCTCAGCCTCCCAAGTAGCTGGGATTACAGGCATGTGCTACCACGCCTGGCTATTTTTTTTTTTTTTTTTTTTTTTTAGTAGAGACAGGATTTTACCATGTTGGCCAGGCTGTCTTGAACTGACCTCATGATGTGATCTGCTGCCTCAGCCTCCCAAAGTGCTAGGATTACAGATGTGAGCCACTGTACCCAGCATATTTACGTATTTATTTTTGAGACAAGGTCTCCCTCAATCACCCAGACTGGAGTGCAGTGGTGCGATCTCAGCTCACTGCAACCTCCACCTCCTGGGTTCAAGTGATTCTCCTGCCTCAGTCTCGCGGGTAGCTGGGATTACAGGCGTCCACCACCATGCCCAGCTAATCTTTTTTTTTTTTTTTAGCAGAGACTGGGTTTCATCATGTTGGCCAGGCTCATGTGACCCGCCTGCCTCAGCCTCCCAAAGTGCTGGGATTACTGATGTGAGCCACTGCACCCAGCATATTTATGTATTTACTGTTGAGACAGGGTCTCCCTCTGTTACCCTGGCTGGAGTGCAGTGTGCAATCTCGGTTCACCGCAGCCTCCACCTCCTGGGCTCACACCATCCACTGCCTCAGCCTCCTGAGTACCTGGGACCATAGGTGCTGCCACCAAGCCCAGCTAATTTTTGGTTTTGGTTTTGTTTTGTTTTTTGGCAAATACACATTTTCCCCATGTTGCTCAGGCTGGTTGCAAACTCCTGGGCTCAAGGTATCCACCCGCTTCAGCCCCACAAAGTGCTGAGATTACTGGTGTGAGCCACCACACCCAGCCAATAGCTTTGCTTTATAAAATAAAAATTAAGAAAAAGTGGACCCCTTTGGCAAGCTGAGGAGGCAGGGTCACTTGAGGCCAGGAGTTCACAAGCAGCCTGGCAACATAGTGAGACCCTGTCTCTAGAAAAAAGAAAAATTACTTTACCCAGGCATATTATTTATTAATAATGTAACAAGTACATTAATGTAATAAGTACCCACAAACACCCCACCCAAACCTGTGATCTCCCCCAAAAGAGAAAGCAGGCTGTAATAACTCCTGGAGGTCCCTGTCCTGAGAGTCTGACCTCTACACACCATGAGACTCAGCAGCCTAGCCACCAACCTTTCCTTCCCCACTCATCGCTCTCATCTTAGGAAGCAGAGAAGGCAGATCCCAGTGTTAAATCAGGATTCCTTTATTGCTGGTTAATACCGTATTCTCTCTACATTCTTCTCAAAGGACCAGGTGATTGAACAAGGTGGTACAGAGGGTTTTTCTAAGGGTGATTATTTAAGCTTGAAAGATGCAATGAAAAAGACAAAGCCGTGTTCAGCCTCAATGTGGCGGTCTTCCTCTGAAGATGCTTCTCCTCCCCTTGAAAACAGAAGCAAACATCTGAGATGGATGAATAAGTAGGCCTTGGCTCAAAGCAGAAGGTGAATGAAAAGGACTTTGCATTGGTTTTCTAGACTTAGTTGGAAGCTGATGGAAGCAGCTGAGCTAAGAGGAATCAGATGCTCCCTCAACCCCCACCTAGCTCGTAGGAGCAAGAGCAATGAAGAATGAGCCCCTCAGCCTCACATCTAGGGAAGGGAGAAAGGGACCCGCAAAGAGACAGTTCTGCTGTGATGGATAGAGGTCAGAGGCTGGACCCTGGGCATGTTCTTAGTCCTAGCCACAGACCAAAGACCACTGTGGGTGTTTTTTAATATCTACCCTTTTAAGATGGTGCCCAGAGGCCAGGCGCAGTGGCTCACACCTGTAATCCCGTCACTTTGGGAGGCTGAGGCTGGCGGATCATGAGGTCAGGAGATCGAGACCATCCTGGTCAACACGGCGAAACCCTGTCTCTACTAACAGACACACACACACACACACACACACACACACACACACACACACAGAATTAGCTGGGCGTGGTAGTATGTGCCTAGAGTCCCAGGTACTCAGGAGGCTGAGGCAGGAGAATTGCTTGAACCCGGGAGGCAGAGGTTGTGGTGAGCTGAGATTACGCCACTGTACTCCAGCCTAGGCGACAGTGAGAGACTCCATCTCAAAAAAAAAAAAAAAAAAAAAAAAAAAAAAAAAAAAAAAGATGGTGCCCAGAACTCCAAACCCCCTCCTTTCCCCTTCCTGTATTCTGGGAAGAAGATTTTCATTGCTGAGCCAACATTCAGGAAGGGTTCAAACTAATTTCATGTCATCCGTGAGCCACGTGCATTGTAAGGACAGAAATCACTAGACCCACCAGGGTTTTCCACCCCAAAGGGAGGAGAGGTAGGGTTTTGCCCACACATCTGATGGAAGGGCTTCCCTTTATTTTAGATTCCAGAAGTCACAGAGCACTGAGGTCAGTTGATCCATGCCGAGAGGTCTAAAGAGCATTTCTATAGGCTAGAGAATACTGACGCTGGCCTCAGTGGAGACCCAGAAGGAAAAGACTAGAAGACAAGGAGGGATGGGCCTGGTGTGGTGACTCACGCCTGTAATCCCAGCACTCTGGGAGGCCAAGGTGGGTGGATCACCTGAGGTCAGGAGTTCAAGATCAGCCTGGCCAACATGGTGAAACCCCGTCTCTACTAAAAATGAAAAAGAAAAAATAGCATGGGCGTGGCTGTGCACCCCTGTAATCTCAGCTACTTGGGAGACTGAGGTGGGAGAATTGCTTGAACCAGGGAGGCAGAGGCTGCAGTAAGCTG